CTGGACACAGGCCTAACTACTCAGTTTTTAAGCAACACAATAAACTTATTTCTGTGATATCCATTATCTGCAGTTAATGGGATAATGTCCTAAAATTTTAAAAGTATTATGCACTAACCAGTCTTATTGATTAAGTCATCGTGACCCTTTTTTCAAGAGGAAACAAGTTGGAGATCTCAACCTATTCATTCCTAGAATCATATTAATCCTCCTATGAACTTTGTTCAGTAAATCAATGTTATTGCTGAGATAAAGGAAGGTGGAAGGACACTTTCTGAACAGTTGCTGTGATTGATCAGACATTAGGTCATAGCAGTGCCCCTGGTGGTAACATGAGAACTGTGTTATTTGCATCTGCGTGATACCTATAACATCCTTGTGCAATTTCACCATCCTATGCATAACATTTTGAGATATGGTGTGCTAAACCACAACATTTTCTTTATAATCACTTTTTACAACAGCAAATTCTGTAAGCTTTATTGCTATCTCGGAATAGAACACAAAGGCTTATATATCACCCAAGATCCTTTTCTACATGATTAAGAGGAATCCCATCTCAATTATATGTGTAATTCATATTATTGTTACTCATATGCATAGCTTTACACTTACAATAATTATATGCCAACATCCATGTGTTTGTCCAACTAATCAACCAATCCAAGTCTTGTAGCTTTTTCATTACAGCTGTCAAAACCTAAGATTGGTATCATCAGCAAACTTAACTCAATTTACAATTGTAAAATAAGTTACAAATAAAGAAGGGACCGATTAGGCCTTCAATCTTTACTTATACGATCACTCCTAAGGTCATTATCATTGTAGTTGATAATTCATTCCATAAATTAATAATCCTGTGAGGTAATCCCTTACACTTCGTTTCTCAAGAAAAAATAAGAGATCTTAGCCTATCCCTTTAAGATAACCCTTATATCATAGAAATAATCCTAGTAACCCTGTTATGAATCCCAGGACATTAAGTGTATCCTTTGTTAGATAAGGAAACAAGGGCCAACTAATGATTCATATAAAGATATAAATTATAATTACCCCTTTTGACACATTAAAATTTTATAAGCTTTTCTCTAGCAAATGAACACCAACTTTATGGCTTGAGTAACTTGTATACGTATCGACTTTTTAGTTTCATTCATGCTACTGAGTGGATTCCCATCAGTAATTTAAGCATGCATTATTATGCATTTGTTCTAAATAAAGATAATTTGCCAACTATTTATCCAATTTACCGTTTGATCCAAGTCATTCTGTGGCACCTTATCATCTCAATACATCTGAAATACTCAAGAGTTTAATGTCATTAAGAACTTTACTAATTATGCCCTGTCAGTGTAATTAATATAAATAAGAAAAATCAAAAGCTCAGTCACTGACTCCTGAGGCACATCATTAGTAATAAAGGTCCAGTTTTATTAGACTAAATTAATAGAATTTTGTTAGTTTTTTTTTCACCCATTCATTCTCCATTCCTTTAGTCTTTTAACTTACCAGAAGGGGATTAATACCTAAATGATTCAGTTCAATTCCAGTATTTCCCATAGAATGCTCAGGGTCTGAAATAATGCTAATATCTTCTCTTGTAAAAATAAAAGATTTAAAAGCTCAACCATGTCATAGCCTTCAATAAAAACTTTGCTGTTAGCATCCTGTGAGAACTCAACTTCATTCTGATTTCTTTAACACTTCCCACATGAGCCAAGGGGTGTCTTTTCACTACAACTTGTTGAATGTTAAAAATAAGTTTAATCAAGAAACTCCCAAAGAGGTTGGTTTTGGATGCATCTTTTTGAGACAACTTTGAGACAAGTTTTCTTTTGTAATTGATAAATGTTTAAGTAAAATTCAGCATTTTCAAGTCTCCATACTAACTAGTACTGTCTACCTGCTGGGAGTAAATTCAGTATATACCAATAAATCCACATTCTCTGCATCATTAATTAAGCAATTACCAACCTTTTATGCTTCTGCTATCACCTTTTTATGTTTAGTTTTCAAATGAGACATGAATGATTTCACCTGCGATTCGATAGGGAAGGTCAAAGCATCACAATAGTCAGCAGTAGGATGAGCAGACAGGAACACTTTGAAAGCAGCTTCAGGCATAATATTGTATTCAGCTTGCTGCACAATATCTACCAAGGTGGTTCTAATAATGCTTGGAGATGGCTTGAATGGGTAATGAAGAAAAA